GAAGATTAATGACTGTGGTCTCCAGTATGGATTACATCTTGACATAAAGGAAACAAAGATCCTCAAAACTGAATCAGTAAGTAGTATCATGATAAATGGAGAGAAGATTGAAGTTGTCAAAGATTTTGTATTGCTTGGTTCTACAATCAACACCAATGGAAGTAGCAAGAAATCGGATGCCATATTGTACTGGCAGTATCTGGGCATTCTGTTCCAAAAGACCTCTTTCAAGTGCTGACCAGCAAAGATGGCTCTTTGAAGACTCAGATGCTCCTAACCCAAGCCATGGTATTTTTAGTTGCCTCACGTGCACGTGAAAGCACAACAAATAGGGAAGACTGATGAAGAGTTGATGCCTTTGGGTTGTGGTGTTTGCAAAGAATACTGAAAGTACCATGGACCGCCAGAAGAGCTAACAAATCTGTCCTTGAAGAAGTGTAGCCAGAATGCTCCTTGGAAGTGAGAATGGCCAGACTTCGTCTTACCGACCTTGGTCATGTTGTCAGAAGGGACTATTCCCTGGAGAAGGATGTCATGCTTGGTAAAGTGGAGGGTCAATGACAAAGGGGAAGGCCCTCAATGAGATGGGTTGACACAGTGGCTGCAACCATGGGCTCAGGTCTAGCAAGGATTGTGAAGCTGGCATAGGACCAGGCAGTGTTTCCTTCTGCTGTGCATAGTAGGGTCGCTGTAAGTCAGAGCCAACTTGAGGACACCTGACAACGACAACAACACAAGGAAGACCAGTTAATGCTACTATTGTTCAAATTTATGTACCAACCCTGCAGCCCAAGATGAAGAAATTGAAGATTTTTTGCCAACTTCTGCATTCTGAAGTTGAGCAAACATGCATTCAGGTCACGTTGATAATTACTGGTGATGTGAATGAGAAAGGTGAAAGAACTGAAGAAAAAATTTAAGTGTCGAGTTGCAATATTGAAACATTCTTTGAGCAAAATCTTCTTGTATGCATGTGAAAGCTGGACAATGAAAAGGAAGACTGAAGAAAAATTGATGCCTTTGAAATGTAATGTTAATGAAAAATACTGAAAATACCATGGACTGTCAGAAGAATGAACAAATCTGTCCTGAGAGAAGTGCAGCTAGAAGTCTCATTAGGAGCAAGAGTGGCCAGACTTCTTGTCACCTACTTTGGTCATGTTGTCAGCAGGGCCTATTTCCTGGAGAAGGGTATCATGCTTGATAAAGTAGAGAAAAGGGGGGAAGCCCTCAATGAGATGGCTTGACACAGTGACTTCAGTGATGGGCTCAAACATTGTAAGGATCGTGAGGATGTTGGAGGACCTGGCAGTGTTTCGTTCTTTCGTACGAGTCGGAGCTGAGCCGATGGTACCTCACAACAAGAAGTATCGATCAGCCTATTAACAGGTTTTGTGACGTTTAGTGTATTTTGGCTGTTTGTATTCTTAGCTTATCCCTCCTGTGAACTTTAAGCTTAAATACCTGAAACTGGCTTGTTCGTCTCTTGCATTTCCTCTAGCTCTGTGCACGTGGCATTTAGGTTGAGCCGTGTGACGTTGCAGGTTTTGTGCATGGATACCAGCCGTAATTCTGTTTTGTGGCCATATGTTAGCAATTTCATATGATTTCATCTTGGCAGATGCTCAGGTAGAACTGACTTCTCCAGAGCTGAAATGTTTCTTTTCAACACTCAAACTGTCATGAGAAATAATTTAGTCTTTATGGTCAGGGTTACAGAAAGACTTCCCGCATAGATTCTCACCTGGGAGAATATGGAATAGCTGAGAAAAGGAGTAGTAAGCGTGTTTGCAGAAGGTCTTGTAGTTTTGAGAACTCACATGGTAAATTCAAAATTAAAGTGGGAATTGAAGCCCTTAGATGGCTAACTGGAGAAGGCTCTCTCTCAGGAGGTCTAACTGGCTCTTTTCCTGGGATGGGTCCTAAAGGGGGGCCCATGGCCCGGGGTGCACTGGTGTTCGCTTGTGCTGCTTTCTGAAAGCTGCTTGCATGTGTTGCTTTCCAGCTTCTTGGTCAGAGATGATATACTGGTACCATGAAATCAGCTACAATGGGAGTATTTACACCATGGAAATCAGCAGATACCATGCAAGACAGCATTTCCAAATTACCACTTAGCATACCTTTGTGAGCTCATATTGTATATAGTCCTTCTTAATTATCCTAATTAATTATTTCAAACTCCACAGAATTAGCAAAAGAAAATCTCTAGAATATGGAATTTACTGTTACTTGAAGGTTCCACTTATATTTAAAGAACATGGGTGTTTTCTAGAAAACTGCAGGGAACAAGCCTCTGACTGTTTCGGAATACAGTATTGCTAATTGCTTGTCCCTGTTGTAAACATCTGCAGTCTTCCCGTATTAACATGATTTGGACTATGCCTCAGCTTTATTGGCGAATGTCTCTTGCGATTCTGGGGTGTCTCCTGATGCTTCCTGACTGGATTCCCATCCACCTTCCAGGCGATCTGTTATAGAGATTAGCCGAGCACTGAAGGAGCTCTTCCACGAAGCCAGAGAAAGGGCCTCCAAGGCACTTGGATTTGCTAAAATGTTAAGAAAGGTGAGTTAACAGTCCTGATGACTGATTTCTTCTTCTTCTTTAGTTTTTATCTTACTGTCAAAAAAGCTGACTCTAAAGAAGTGTCTGTGTCACTCTGACCCTAGGACCTGGAGATGGCAGCAGAGTTCATCCTTTCAGCCCCTACGAGAGACCTGCTGAGTGTTCTGAGATCAAAGCACTATATTAAGGTGACTGTGTTGTTGTTATGTGCCTCGAGTCGGACCTGACTCACAGCAACCCCTCCTTGGGTTTCCGAGGCAGTAACACTACGGAAGTAGGATTGCCCAACCTTCCTTCCGAGGAGTGGCTGGTGGGTTTGAACTGCCAGCCTTCTAGTTAGCAGTCAGGTGCCTTAGGCACTATGCTACCAGAGCTCCTTCAGATGGTAATTGACAGTTGGCCTTTCCTACTTTGCTCCTAAACAGACCCTTCCTCACAGCTCCTGGTAGTAAATATTTTATGCTTGGGGACCATGCATCAGTCTGTTGATAAGCCTGTCTCACAGTTTTCCAATGAAATATTTAGACTCTTCATACTTAATGGAATTTACTTGTTTTAAGAATAAAAATAATCAAATGTTTACTTATAGACTATTTACACTATCAATTTAGTGACACATAGATACTTAAAATGACTGTATGAAACAGTTGATTTTGAGTCATTGTCTTTCATCTCACATTTCCTGAGGAACACAGCTCAGACTTTGTCCATGAATGTTAGTCAGCAGTATCCTGGCCATCACTCAGGCCACTTTCTGAGTCATCCTCTCTGTTCCATTTAGTTGCTTGCAATGTAGCAGTTTTGGAATCTGTGTCTGAAGTTGTCTCTGGGAATTTTATCCCATGCCCACACTTCTCACCCACCCACATGCCTCAGGTGGTGTGTGTGACCTTTATACCAGAACTGTGTGCTCCTCAGAGTGACCTTGAAAAGACTGTTGATGATTCCAACCCTTAGGAATTGTCAGTGCCTCTGTGATAACACTCTGTCTGACTCAGGTGACTATCTGGAACATCCCAAATTAGTGCTGGTTGAGGAGGGGACTTCAGATGAACTTCTCCCTAAAGTGGTATTTTGCTTCTTTGTGTGGACTGTGATGGTCTATTCCCTTCGAGACATTATGATGTCATTATATCTATGTTTAATTTGTGGTTGTATGTTGGTGTGATTTATGCAAGATTTTTTTTTCTTTGTTTTGTTTTGCTGTCTGTGGAGCAGGGTGCTATGCTCCTTTATTCACTGGTTGTTAGTACTTAGGCACTCACCACCTGTCTCCTGGGGTGTGATAGAGAATGAGAGTGTGTGTACATATCTCTGTTAGCCGTTCGTAAAGAGCAGTTGAGGGTGAGTCAGGCTGATACTGTCCACCATCTATCATTGGTCAGGTGGTACAAAAGCAAGTGGTGACCCTCACTCAGTGGGTGGGGCTCCAGGAGGTATGGGTGTGGTTGAGTTCTGTGGGAATGGTTGCTGTCTCCCACTCACAGAAAAATGAAAGAAAAAAAACAAAACAAGAAACCATTGAGAAAATAAAATACAAGCCACATAAACAAACAAGAACAATTGCAAAAAAAAAAAA